CCCCACGCCCCACCTGCATGCTCTCTATCTCTTAAAAAAGAAAGAAAGAAATCTTCCCCTTTATTAGTAGTAATTGTTAATGTTTATTGAATGTTTACTATGTGTCAAATATTTCTCCAAGTGCTTTACATATATTAACTTCTTTCATCCTCACAGCTACCCTCTTTGGTAAGTACTATTGTCAATCTCATCTTACAGATGGGGAAACTGAGACACAGGGAGGTTTAGTAACTTTCCCAAGATCACATGCTCAGTAAGCAGCATAGACAGGATTCAAATCCAAGCAGTTCAGCACCAGAACCTGCGCACTTAACAATTTGTTTGTTGGTCGGGAGCCCTGACTTGTACAGCTATTTGAAGGGAGGAGGGAGGAAGGGGCCTGGAGGAGCTGAGTAACCCCTGGAAGCTTCTGGAATGACTATGTTTCAGAACCATTCACCTTGCAGCTAAAGAGGCGTGGATACAGGCCACCTGTGTTTTATCAAGGATTACCAGGCGGGAGACCCGTGGTAGCTTTCCTTCATGCCATTACAGTAGAGGACGTGGTTGAAACTGCAGAGGCATCTTGATTTGAGAAAAGCACTTGATTGGATCTCATTAAATTTTAATCATAAACTGAATTCAAAATAAATTGAAAACTGGTTGACAGAGCACAAACAAAGGGTGATGATAAATGGTGATGCATCTAGAGAGGGGATATCTTCCCGGGGACGCCTCTGAGGCAAGGACGGATGGGATTTAATGAAGGTGTTATGTCCCTGGAAGGAGACAAATAGCATAGCAAGAAACAGAGGAAGGGCAGAAGTGAGCAGCCTGAGTAATTAATAAACCACATTACCAGCTCCTAAATAATCAAGACTTGCTGTTCACCAACTGCTTGGATTTTTTTAAAAAGAATTCTTTCGGTCAACAACAGGGTGGAAGAGTCCTAGAGACACACAACATGAATATTTCAGGTGGACATAATAAATAAATATATAAACTTACAGTTAGAAAGATCCTCAGATCCAATTTGGATCAGATAGTTTCAATTACAGATTCTCAAGCTCTTACTTCATTCCTCAGGGAATAATTTTTTTAAAAAATAAATTAAAAGTCTAAAAGTCACATATTAAAAAAAATCTTTAGACTCATTAATGTTCTTTGTTTACTGCCCAAATGCATGCAAACTTTCACAATGTCAGTTTGCTCAGTGGAAGCTGGTTTTGAGTGTACTGTTTGGCTCCAGTTCAAATTCCAGTGAAAAAATACTTCCAAGTTTACTTGCAGAATTTCCCAGACAGAGAAGTTCTTCCATTTGGTTTGCCAGAGGATTGGAAGTAGTGGTGAGCCCGGGAGACAAGGGAGCATTTACTGGCCCTTATTCGTCCCCTGCACAGTACAACTCACATCAGGCTGAAGGCAGCACAGCATGACCTGACCTAATTTGAAGTTCGCTCTGGAACTCCTCTGAGCCGCTAAGCAAGGAGACCACGGACTAATGGGAACAGACTGATTCTGCTCTGGAGTGAGCTGGAAATAAATATTTGGAGAATAACCTCAAACCAGCCCAGGTTTTTGTTCGTTTTGCTTCAGATAAGGTTTCCCTAAGCACGTATCTGTGATTCTTAATTTCAGTCCAAGCCCCACAGTGAAGGAGAAGGGGCAGAAAGCAAAAATCAGGAGAGAAAGAAAAAGGGCTATTAAGTAAGAAAGGAGAATGGAAGAGAGACAACAAGGAAAGTGGGGAAACCTTGAAGGACATCTTTAAAAATGTGCCCTTTATTGGTGTAGGAGACAGATTTATTTAAATTGTGATTTTTTATGTATTACTGGGTATGAGAAGGGGCAGCCGGAAGGGAAGGGAAAGAATGAATACAGGTGAAAGGTAAGCGTGTTACAGGTCAGCTGCTAAGCCAGGAAGAGCCTAGGCAGCACAGAGGGGGAAGACAGATCAGAGACCGGAGGGAGGCCCAGTGACCCTGGGAGGGGAAGGAAAAACACTGGAACCCCCCACAGCAGGAAAACAATGAGGCAGAAAAGGGCCAAGTTTCCCTCATCGCCGAGGGACCTGCCAAGACCCCAGTGATCTTCAGGGTGGAAGGAAGGGGGACACACGGGCTGGGGGAGGCCCCGGCAGTTCCATCACCCCCAAATGGCTCCATTTTAGCTGCCTCATCAGGGAACCAAGCCAAACGGGCACAGCTCTACGGTATCACCTGGTAGACGAAAGGACCCCCCGCCCAACCTCAGCCGCTTTACAACTCGCAGCCCCCCATGGTGTCTATACACGCGCGTACGCATGCGCCCACACACGCACGCGCCCACACACGCACGCGCAGAGCGACGCTCGCTGCCAGGCGCTGAAGCGCACGTGGGCCAGTAGAGGCCTGCTGGTGATGGGATGCAAAGAATGTCGGGGGGAGAAGGGACAGCTGGGGTTTCATGAACTAAAAATATCTTGGTGACAACGCACTGAGAAGAAACTGGAGAGGCCCAGGGGGAGAGCTTCTTGATTCCAATCCTCAAGATGCTTTCTCACGGAAGGACGGCAAGATTGTTTTGATAAGGAAATGTGATCAAACATTTGGGGTCATCTCATTGGATCTGAAAGGAATTTAAAGTTTAATGTGCTTCATCTGTGCCCCTTCCTCCCCCGCCCCCCAAACAGTTGCCCGCAATTCTTACATGTTTTTACGGGCTAATCTAAAATTGCCTGCCGTAGAAAAATGGTTGAATTCAGGGTATTTCTGAGTTTTCGATTCTGTGCCGTGTAAAACAGATTTCATTTAGACAAATTGCCCACATAATCTGTCTTTCTGAAAGCCTGTTAAAGAATGCCTGCAAAGATGACTGCCTTCTCCTCCTGTGTTCAGAGCCATTTGAAAGTCACTAACCCTTTAGTCCTGGGAGAAGCAGGCTTAAACGTTTTCTGTCTTTGCACCCTCCAAAAGTGAGTATCCCCGAGTTAGGAGTCTTATCCCCGACGTGCTGGTTCATTGCCCTGACTTCACTCCTAGTCAGCCCACCCCACAGAGCGAGCAGAGCAGTCACGGCTCCATTTCGTGACCTCCATCATGAAATGACCTGTAGCAGCAACACCAGAAGAAGAATGACTGTGGGTGGTCTTTCTGGGTAAAAGCTAGGCTGGCAGCCGGGAGCCTCGTTTCAGATAATGGTGCTTCGTTATTTGAAAACAGAATGGGTAACTCATCACAGTTGAAACATCTTGAAATTTCTGTCCTCTCATCCGGGGGCGGGGGGGGGGGGAAGGAGGGGAGAGAAAGCCATCTAAGAATGTGACAATGACTGTACCAGGGCCTTTCCACAGAAACAGTTTAGCAATACTTAAAGCCCTGAGTCAGCCCATCCCAGTCAGCCAGGGCCTGTTGGAGCTGTACTGGCAAAAAATAATTGCCCAAAAGAAATAATAATAACAATAATAATAATAATAAAGTAGTGGTTTGGAAAAGGTTAAGGATTCTGTGTCTGCCATCTAAAGTGTCCAATCACAGCCATCACCCTTACATGGTATCAGGATGTGCTGCCCGGCTTCCTTTCACTTCCCATTGAAGCACCCCCTCCTCCCCTCACACAGTGATTGGTCTAGCCCAGGAGTGGTTTTCAGCTCCAGCTAAGTCAGTAAGGCAACCTTCCAGAGCCAGGCTGGTCTGCCAGTTCTCTGGCCTGCCTTGACTTTGTGGGCAAGTTCACAGGACAGTTCTTCCTGGGGAACCCAAATGGGACATGAACTAATTCAAGAAACCCCCTGTTTTATGTAGCAAGAGCCAATAAGAACGCCTAAATTCCGGGCAGCCCTCACACAGAGCCACGTGGCCTCCCAGCCACCCCCCACTCTTTGGCCTTGAAAGCTGCTTTTTACCTTGTGCCTTGAGAGCAGATGAGTGAAACAGAAATCAAAGCAGCTTGTATGGAAAGAGCTTGAGCACCTATGAAGCGTTTGATACTATACGGGGTGCTAGGGGGTAGAAAAGGATTAAGAAACAAAATCTTTTTCCTCAAGGAACTGTCTAGTAGCAGGAGGTAAAATTAATATATTTGAATAGTCAGTAAACAAAACAAATCTTCCAAGACCACCCAGTACGGCTTACCCTCTGGGACTCCCATTATTTTGTTAGAAGGGAATTTAGACAAAATCATGTTAGTTCATCTCCCACACACATTTTATTGATGAAGAAATCCAGGCCTAGGGAAACCAAAGTGAATTGCCTAAGTCACAGAGCCAGCAAGGAGTGGAGTGAGGACTTGAAACCAAGTTTCTTGTCCTCTTTTTTATCATTTATTTGGTCTTTTTTCCCCCCCATCCATTTAAAAAAAAAAAAATTCCCCTATTCTAAGAGATCATCTTGAACTTAAAAGTCACATGCAGCTTGATTAGCTGCTGAGATCAGGTAATAGCGTTTCTCCCCCAGTTTTCATTGCCAGTAAATGTCCGGGCTGCTTGGGAGGGGCGGAGGGGCTGTAGGGGAGCCGGCCAGGCACAGAGCGGAGCTGAACTTCCTGGCCCAAGAATGTGGGGTTGATCTTTTCCCTGCATGAGACAAGGATCAAGAAAACTGGGAGTTTTCCTTCCATCTTTGGGAAACTGACGTGTCCCGGGGCTGGAAGCCAATTACTTAATTTTTGCCATCCCGGGTTCCCTCCTTGGAAAACTGGGGCTGGATTCTTCACCAAAACTTGTGGGGACACTAAGTACTCAAACAAATGGTTCCCAGGCAGCTCTGAAAACAACACCCGTGTGCGCACTGTCCATTCCTCGAAGAGTTAATCTCACTCAGCTCGCCTGTCTGAAATGCTAAACCACTGGCACTTTCTGGCCGCCAGAAACTTTAAGTGTCATTTTCTCAGCCCAAGCGGGTGCACGAACAAGTTAAAGGTGGGGGTGGAAGGTGGGAGGAAAGGAAGGCAGAATGTTTCAGTAAAGGAGAAAACAGTGTTTGGGAAAACGGGTCAGCGGCTAAAAAGTAAGGCTAGGCAGGCAACAGCTCTGAACAACTTACCTTAGCACCACCAAGGACAGACAGACCGGCCGACAGGGTGGTCGTGCTCTCTCCTTCTCACACTGCACCTTGGGTGGCTCCCGCCTCCCTCCTCCCTCTCCAGGCCCAGGTAAGCCGTAGAACAGGCTCTGAAGCAGGAAGTGGAAGTTGTATGCAAATTTCTACGGAGGCTACGAAGGCTCCGCCAAAAAATCTCCCTGTGGGCAGTGAATCAACAGCCGAGAAGTCACTTTATTTCTTAAAACAGAAACCTCCTTCGTTCCGTAGAAAAGGCCACTGACTGACCAATTAGGGTGCATTTTTTGTTTCCACCACCCAGCTAAGTAACTGTGGAGGAATGTCCACACTGCCCCGGATCTTGGGGCTACTGCAGTGCCCTAACCCTAGCTGGAGAGGGTGCCTGGGGAGGGGATTGAACTTGGGTGTTAAGATTGGTTATTCATTAGCAGCTCCAAAGGAGGAGATTGGGGGCAGATAGCGGGGTGGAATATGAGGCAAGAACTATCTGTAGCTGCTTAAAACATCAGCATTTGTTGCCCTTCACGGTGAGGGAGGACTCGCTGCCCAATGCACGTGAGCGTGCGCGCGCACACACACACACACACACACACACACACACACCCTGCCCATCAACAGGCATGAAAAAAGTGACTCCTTTTAAGAAAACACACACACGCACACACGCACACTCCCATGCACATGCACATACGTACAGTTCTCCTCTGGCTGCATTTTTCATGACCTCAAGTTTATTTCTTCTCCTTCCTTCTGCTTGTTTAATCAGTAGCCTACAGAAGTTATGGTTGAAGGAGACACTGGCGACAGGATGACCAGGGCAGCAGAGTGGGATGGGAGCTGTGGCCGCTAGAGCTCTGGAGTCAGAGGGATGTGGGGGTGAACTCAGTGATGGCACTGGCCAGCTGGGCACCACAGCTAGATGCCTGGGCAGGCACATTGTGCTTCAGGGGCTGGCCTTGCCTACCCGTTGAGAGGGCCCAAGGGTCAGCCCGTGCAGCTAGCCATCTCTCCACCTTTGTGCAGGGGATGGACCCTGGAGCATCCCCATCCAGACGGCCAGGTTCTGCTCAAGTAGGTCCCATGAAGTGGGTTGCTCTGCATTCTGCAAGCAGAGGAAACACGGATTGTTTTTATTTTTATTTTTATTTTTTTTAATATTTATTTTTTTTAAAGATTTTATTTATTTATTTGAGAGAGAGAGAATGAGAGACAGCACGAGAGGGAAGAGGGTCAGAGGGAGAAGCAGACTCCCTGCTGAGCAGGAAGCCCGATGCGGGACTCGATCCCGGGACTCCAGGATCATGACCTGAGCCGAAGGCAGTCGCTTAACCACCTGAGCCACCCAGGCGCCCACACGGATTGTTTTTAAAATAACATATACAGGTTGTATATGTTTTGGTATATCCTTACAATGGAATACTATGCAGCTGTGAAAACTCATAAACATGTGTGTATGTATTTCTACATTCTAACATGGAAAAGTGGCTCTGGGATATTATTAATTGAGATACATGATCTCGTTTTTGCTAATATATATGCCAGGTAAACACATATACATACACATATAGATTCATGTTTGTTCACTGCTGGTTGGCACCTGACACATTGCCCAGAACATAGTAGGCAATCATTCTCTGTCAAATGAAGAAATCATGAACGTCTGGAAAAATGCATGCAAACTGTTAAGTGGTTGTCATCTCCAGGGGATGAGATTGAGGGGAATGAGTGAGAATAGAGGACTTTTACACTATTTACACACGTGCGCTGTTTGAGTCCTTTTTCCACAAGCATATTTTTAAAAAAATAGTATTTAGTACCTTGGCCTTGAACTTTCTGCCTCAAAATTATTATTATAATAATAATCTTTTTTAGTTTAGGGAAAAATAGTATTCTCAGGCGCCTGGGTGGCTCAGTTGTTAAGCATCTTCCTTCGGCTCAGGTCATGATCCCAGGGTCCCGGGATCGAGTCCCACATCGGGCTCCCTGCTCAGCGGGAAGCCTGCTTCTCCCTCTGACCCTCTTCCGTCTCGTGCTCTCTATCTCTCATTCTCTCTCTCTCAAATAAATAAATAAAATCTTTAAAAAAAAATAGTATTCTCTGTACAGCAGCTAGTCCCAGGATACTTGGAGAACAGAGAAGAAAAGAATGTCAAGGGGAGGAAACAAGGAGAGCCAAGAAAAGGGGCGGGGTGAAAATCGTTTTCATTTCCCTTCGATCCCTTATATGGCTTGGGAAAAGCCTGGAAGATGCTTCTGTCAAGTACTACCTTTGGAATACAACCCATCAGGAAGAACTGGGAGAATCTTCTTTTCCGTTTCTCCTCCCAACTGTTTCCCCGGATGGGAGGCCTGAGGGCCCTGTAGGAAGATAACCAGGTGCTAAAGTGCTGCTTTTAATAGCTGTTAGCGGGGCCTTCCTCCTGTCTCCCTTTAATCTGAACAGAAGGGCAGGCCCCTGGAGGAACAGGTTAATGGTTCCTACCTAGGGCTTTTGCTGGGGCCCTTATTGAAAGCAGCCTGAGGACGTAAACTGTTTAGAGAGGGTATTCTGAACAGGAGAGAGTCTTGTCTGAATGTGCCCCAGGCAGCTACAGGGAAATGTGGACGCAGGGGAAATGTCAGGGAGTCTGGGAAATGAGCACCTCTGTTCCCCAGGAGTCCCCACTGGTGTTTTCAGACTAACGCGTACACCCTTTTAGCTGCCATCACGGAGAACCTACCATACGCTACCTGTCAGCTTATTTAACCCTCCAGCAGTCCCGAGAAAGCCATTTACTGTCATTCCCACTTGGCTTTTGCGAATCCAAGGCCCAGAGACATTGAGGAACGTCTCCATGTTTACACAGCTAGTCTATGGAAAAGGATTCCAGAACTGTCTCACCTCCGGGGGGATGTTACTTCTTGTCCCTTCTTGTCATGTTGTGCTCTGTCCTTCCTACACGCTCGGGTGCACACAGATAACTTGCTTCCTTTGCATAACTCTTGACAGCACTCAAGAAGGAAAAAAGCTGTAGACAATAAAAGGGTGGCACTGAGACTGCCAGTCATAGGGTGCCGTGGGTGAGTACATGGTGCTGGCTGCTGTAGACGTAATAGGTAGAGTAGCCAAGATGGGGGTCAGCTCTGTCCCCCCCCGTTGGAAGTCTAGGAGGGGAGGATTTGTGTTTGCCCGCTTCTAGAGCCGCTCAGTCTTCTTGCAAAAGACATCATTAGATGAAAGTCAGCTCTTCCCTCTTCTGTAAACCAAACCAAACAAAGCCATTTGGACCTGATGGTCAGAAATTCTCCCTTCTGCAGTATTAATCCATGAAAAGAAAGGAAAAAGGGAAAGACTCATTCCTTGGACGAGCCTTGATTTTCCATTTTTAAATGGTATTATTTCAAATGCTGAAAGGGCAGAGTGAAACTATGGCACTCCAGAAGGAATTTCCCTGAGAATGGCCCTGGTTCAGAGGGTCCCCCGGCTCACACACTGCTGGCTGACAACTCCGTGGCATGGCTGTTGAGGCAATGGCAGGACGAGAAGAAACACCCAGGCTCCCAGGGTCTAGTCCAGCTCTTCTGGGTACTCCAGTCCCCAAACCTTTATTGAGTGCTTGCCCTACTCCAGACACACATTAGGGGCTAAGCGTGCACACTGAAAGATCCTCAACGTGTTCTTGTGTGTCTTTCAGAAGCAAAAACTATGTAAGTTACATATCGTAATTAGGATGGTTATAAGTAAGAGAAGGATAAGGAGGAGAGAAGTGAAGGTCGCTGAGGATGTGGAGCAAAGGGAACCCTTGTGCACCGTTGGTGCGAATGTTAAGTGGTGCAGCCGGTGTGGAAAGCAATATGGCGGTTCCTCAAACAAAAGAAAAATATAATTGCTGTATGATCTAGCAATTCCATTTCTGAGTATATACTCAAAAGAATTTTTTTTAATACCCAAAAGAATTAAAAACAGGGTCTCAAAGAGGTATTTGTACATCTATATTCATAACAGCATTATCCACAATAGCCAAAAGGTGGAAACAACACAATGGTCCGTCAGTGGATGAGTGGACAAGCAAAGTGTGATCTATCCATACAGTGGAATACTATTCAGCCTTAAAAGGGAAGGAAATTCTGACATGTGCTACAAACATGGCTGTACCTGGAAGACATTATGGTAAGTGACATAAGCCAGTCAGAAAAGGACAAATACTATGCAATTCCACTTACATAAGCTACCTGGAAAAGTCAGATCCATAGGGACAGAAATTAGAATGGTGGCTGCTAGGGGCAGTCAGAGGGAGGAATGGGGAGTCATTGTTTCAGGCATATAGACTTTCAGTTTTGCAAGATGAAAAGAGTTCTAGAGATGGATGCCGGGGATGGCTGCACCAAATGTGAATGTATTAATGCCACTGAACTGTACATTTAAAAATGGCTAAGATTGATAAATGTTATCTTATATGCATTTCACGACAATAAAATATAAAACAAAATAAATAAAATAAAAATCCCCAAAGCAATCGTGCACAATGGGTTTTTTTTTCACCTCATTTTCCAGGTGAGGAAAGGAAGAGAAGTTAAGTAGCTTTCGAGGGCTACACAGCTGGGTTTGAAAGCAGAGCGGACTCTCGAAGAAGGCCACACTGCCCCCCTCCACCGAGCTGTCTGGTACCTGCTGGGGGGCCAAGGATGCCCCACGTATGCTGAAGCCACACGGATTCATCTCCTCTCTGTGCCCTTTTCTTTCTCTAGACTACCCTTCCTCTAACATTGCCTTTCGTGGTGTTCTTATTCTCTCCTCTGCCTTCCCCTCATCAAAAGGTGCTCTCAGGAAAAAAAAACCTGAGCACTCATTTATACCTAAGGTACATGGTGTGAATTTAAATCAGTATGCCACCTCTCTGAGGGGTGCTTGCATTTTAAGCCTCATCACCCTCTATGAAATGAAAACCTTTGTTCCATATTAAAGGAATTTCAGGCATCAGGGAGCAGGTGGGGAGAATCTGGAGGGTGGTGTTGGCAGGCAGCGCAACCCGAACCCAAAGAAGTGCATTCAATGGTGGAAACTTTAGGCACACAGTTAGAAGGGAGATCTATTTTATGGGCAGA